TTTATTTTTTTGTAATAATAGTCTTTATTGAGATATATTACAATCTGTCACATTCAATGACAATAGTAATAGAGATATAGAGTAGCTCATTCATACTATGCACAATAAATAAAAATTATAAACTAAAAAAATTAATAAAAGTCAAACTGTTATCATAATGATTTTTTTTTTTTTTGAGTACCTTTAATTGTAAGACTTTCTATTTTAAGAACATTTTTTTTTTAAAAACAGTCACACGATATTGTTAAAATGGAATTTTTAATAAAAGTTTCAGATTACAATCATGTTAGTTTAATAAAACCGGAAAATCAAGCAAAAACGATGAATGTTCCAACTAGTGTTGCCCAAAATTGGTCTTGGTCTTGCACTTTGCAAGACCAAGACAAGGATCGGTAAAAAAAAATCGATTTTTTTAATAAAAATTATGGCAAAATAGTCACTAATGCTTGACAATCTTAGTTACTACATGGTAATAATTGATCTAACCAATATACTTTTGCATTTAACTCCTCTAATTTTCCATTCGGGCTTAGTTAGGTTTCTCATATCTAAAAAATAGCAGTAATATCAATATAGTAATAGGCTAATAAGTAACTGCAAGACTGTCGCGAGAGTCTTGCGCAAGACAAAGACCATGACCAAGACTGAGTTTAAAAGACCAAGACTCGTCTCGGTCTCGCATTTGGGCAATATTAATTCAACTGGTCATCATTAGATTAATGAAAATTTAATAAAATCTGTTTATGTCTAATAGCTACCAATTGATTATTAAAAATATATGTATGTTTTACAATATTTACTGGTAGTTTATTTAATTAGTAGATCAATGATTTATTTAAATTCTGTTATTATTAAGTTTTTATTTTTATACAACTAAAGATTAAAAACTTTAAAGGTCTAAAAATTTAAAAAACGAATTGTATAATTATCTAACACACTTTGTAACTGACATAATTCCCGATACAAGCTAATTTCTAAGGGCCTCCTGGATAAAGTCGACTAGAAAATCCCGAAAAATAAATATAAAGTTGCATTTATAAACCCGGTGTATTTATTTATAATGAATAAAATCGTTTATGATTTATTATTGGAGATCAGATAAAACTTACCGAAACGGCTTCGGTGACTGTATGCTAGGAAGGTTGAAGAAAGACTGGCAGTTTTAATCACCCAATCGGCAAAGCTCCAGCGCTCCTATATTATCCTTCCTGTTCAAACTCTTAAATCGATGTATAGATATATACACTTTTTTTTTTTTAGATCTACATCACTTCCTGTTTCTTTATCAACATTTTAGAAATATTTCCGCCGTTTATATTCAATTCAGGTACATACATGTATAAATATATATATATATTTTTTTTCAATGAGAACCGGCACAAACTGTGACCCTGAGAACCGAATTGGAGGGGACACATATCACGGTATAACTTCTGGAAAGTCTCGATCAGATATGGATTTAGGTAGAAAAACATTATCCGTTTAAAAGTAAAAATAAAATAAACAAATATTCATAAAAAAAAATTAGGTGTGAGTATACGATCCATTAGTTCACTGATATCAGTTCAAAAAAATTAAGAAGATTATGGTTGAGGTAATATTGTTAATACTTAGTGGAAAGTATCGGACAAGTTTTATTCTGCTCCCTTCCGTGTGAAAGTCCTTTGGAACAAAACTGAGCTTGAAATTCAACAGTAATTAAAGTTTAGCAATAACTACCTAAAACGGATCGACGAAGAGACCATGTCCACATAAATCGAACAACTTTCTAAGCAATTCTGAATCCGCGTCTACCTCGAGAATGCTAAAGAGTCGAAGTAGTATCGTCAACGTGCAATGGAAACAACGTTAACTTCAAATCATCAATTCGACTTAAATAGTTATTATTCAGAGGTATTTAAACCGTATGTAATATTAACACAAAATTTCACATACCACTTTATTGAACCTTTAAGTATCGATTAATTATTATAGTAAAGATTTAATCGAATGTTTTGAAGTATGTACCACTTTCACGTTAAACCCAGCCTGACGTACATATTTCCAATACATAATACATTTTATTTATCTAATGTTTTGGAGATCATTCCGAAGTTCGGTGGAATCGGACGCGAGAGAAGAACGGCTTATTCGGCAGTTTCATACCCCGCAAAAAATGTCCGAATTTGGTATACTAGCAACCCATAAATCGAGAAAAAGCAATATATAAAAAAAATGTCGGAAAATATAATTATAGCATTAACGATATTCTTAAAATGTATCGTCTCGAATAATCTATACTAAAAATGTACCATTCTTTGAATCGTTCAAAATTCTATAGTAATGAATACTACTATAAAATTTATTAAAGAAAGTTAAGAACTGCCGATAAATCGCTTCAAAACAATAATTTATACATAAAAAAAAAAACATATTTGAAATGAAAAAAACTGAAAAGTTTATTATTAACCAAGGGCTAAGTATAATGGTGGTATTTCAAATACTATACAAAAAATTATGGATTCAGTTTAACGATATGTAAAGTAAGCGATTGTAAAATAGATCTATATATTATAAATAAACTAATTAAAATTGTAACGGACAAGCCATAACTGATTATAATGATATTGGCCAATTATGCAAATAAACAAATAAATAAAACAAATTTATGGGCAGAGATATTAATAATGAACTTATTAAACAAATGTCCGAATTTATAATTCTTTAATATATTTTTGTTGATTTATTTATTACAATAAAATAATTATTGATATTTTACGGTATAACAAAAATATGTTATATATAATTATCAATAGAAAATATTATTAACCAAAAGGAAAATTTAAGGATAAAATTAATTTATTGATTTTATTTAAATTATTTCGTAAATAGAGTAGGTTTAATTTTAATTACTTTAAAATCGCAATGAGTTTAAATATAATATAATCATGTACTTTAATATATATAAAAATAATCCATAAATTGTTCGTCCTAATATTAGAATTGAATGTTATTGAACATGGTATCACATTGAAACTTTTATTTGGTTTTATATTTTGGATATTTCTCAGAACATTTTTTATAAATTAATCTTAATAGATTTTTTTTTATTCAAAATATATTTTTTTAAATTTATCTTCCCAAAAATAATGTCAAAATAAAATATAAAAGAAGTTGCTAAATATATAACAATAAAAATATGTTTGTTAAAGAATATAAAATTAAAACAAAATGGAAAACGAAGGGGACAGATGCTTGTTGGGAGGCCCGCTCCAGTGATTTACCTCTCAAGCCGGTTGAGATGGTCCATTATTATTTTATCTCTAAAACCTGATGTTCTGTCTGCCTTAATGTATTAGGTCGGGAAAGGAAAGAAGAAAAAAATTGTTAAAAACCTGATAACAAAAGGAATGAATATAAAAAACATTAAAGAATTTGCTAAGGCTATCGAATTCGTTGGAAAATGAGTCGTATTAAAATTTTAGTCTACTTTGCCATAATCATGAATGAAATGCCGCTGTGTCCATTCTCTTATTATTCATTATACATATTTTACTTAAACTCCACATTTTTAAAAAGTCATTTCATCAAAATTGATAGGGAAGGTTTGAGTTACTGCTAAGAATCCTACCAAATAATAAAAACTATGTTTTATAAAGTGAGAGTCAAGTACAAAATTTTAAAATAATTATAAAACAACACTTGGAAAAATCTATATTAAAAATTTCAATGGAATTCGTGTGAGATGAAGTTTGATCGGGTTTTTACTCTACAATGAAAATAAATACATATTACTAATAAACGACAAATTTCATAATATTTTTTTCCAAAAGCATGACAATTTTTTTTTAATAGGTTACTTTTCTGTGAGACATATTTTTAAGTGTACATCTTTCTTCAGTCACCGTCAGAGACTTAGAATAAGGGGAAGTGCAAGGTGAATAGTTAAGCTCGTTCTATTTAGTTTAACATCACATTTTACCGACAATCTGATATGTGATAAGAAGAAGTTCATAATAGATGATTGCAAATACATCAGTTACGAAATGGCCAAGGTTTCGGATCGACATAATGATTCTTGCCTTATTGAGAAATCCAGTTCCAAAGTAGGCAACATCTACCTACCGTCATAGATCCCTAAGGTAGATACCGGGGGGTCTTGGAGGATGTCTGAGTAGCGGTAAAATGAGAAATCTACTTGTAATTAGTTTTCAAACACTATCTCTTTTTTTTTCAAAGTTGTGCATGAGATAATTATACAACTTTTAATGATATTCAAATTGTGATTATTATTTTTTTTATTGAATACACTACAAAAGAAAGTGAATGCCGACCTAAGCTTTAACTCATTATAAAAAGAATGATGTAACATCAAGTAGGGTACCGTAATACGGATCTTAAAATTTATCGAATTAAAGTCTATGATTCAAAACATATTTAAATGAATTTTAAGCACAGAATCAAATAAATGAGAGAATGAATATTAAAAAAAAAATGATTCAATTACTTTTTGGAAGGAAAGAAAAGAAGAATGTTTCATGAACAAGAATAGTAATTAAAGTTTTGTAAGAGACAATTATGCAGATGGGAGAAATATTTGGTTATAACAAGGCATAAGATATAGGGAGACAGTTCATATCCGCTTTCTTGAAGCACAGATGAAAGTGAAACGGAATCAACCGTCATCACATACATGGCAACGTACAAATAAAAATTGCAGAACTGTTTCTCTTGAAGTAGTAAAAAACAGCAGATTGTATATCGGTTCAAATATAAGTAAATTAAACAGTAAACTTACGCTTAGAAGCTTGAGAAGTTTCGTAGGAAAAAAAAAATCCGAACGATCCGAAGTGCGTTGAGTGTAACGAGATGAACGACTGCAAGTGAGTAAAGAGTCAGATGAGGATACCTGTGCTCAAGGCAACTGACCAACGCTACTGATTCGATATCGTCGACTGCAGCGAAAGAACGAAATGGATAAACTAAAGAAGTGGTGAAGAGAAAGGATGTTGAGGACTTACGTTGGCAAGGTGTGGTGTGTGAGGTAGTGATATAGTAGTAGAGACATCGATGCAGGACTCACCAGGGCAGCTCAGCTGACATCTGGAGTGAGAGGAGAAGCTTGACTGGCACTGGGAACCCGCTCCCCACCCCGCCCCTCCACGGCTCTCCTTCCTGCCAGCTAGACCATTGATGCTTGACAGTGTCACCATTGATGACCAATCCAATCCCCTTTTTTGATACAATACCTCCTTCTGGAGGGTACCTGACCCTCCGCGGCCGGGAGACCTACCCGCAAGGGGAGGACGTTGACCCGCTATCGCCTGATCGTTAGTTTTTCGGCGAAACGGCAAACGAGACGCATACGCCTGCTACACAAAGCAGTTGTTGCTATATTCAGAAACTTTTCCTCAGCATCAAAGGAAAGAAACGTAACAACCTGTTGATTGATCATGAACACTAGTTAGTTGAATAACGTTGAAACTCTTAAATATTTTAAAATCCTCTATATAACACACCGTTTACGTTTGAGGGATTATTCTGTCGTTTAGGAGTGAACACATATTAACCCTCTTCCAGACAAAAATGTTTTATTTCTTCTATAACAGTTCACTAGCTGACAAATAATTCAGTCTTTTCTAAGTCGACTAACCTTGATTTTTCCACAAGATCGTTTTACGATTTTAAACTCAGTTTGATGGTACAACGACGGTTTAAAATTCCGAGATGAACACTTCAGCCTAGGAGACAAAGACGGACGTAGAAAAACTTCTTCCCTTGACGATTATGTTCTGCGAGCTATGGTCGAATAAAATCCAAAAAATACTGTTCGAGAACTTACAGGGAAACTCTCAGCAAATCCACCATAGCTGACCACCTCAGGGCAATTGGAAAAGTAAAAGTTTGAAACTTGGGTTCGTCGTACATTTAACGACCGTCGAAAAAAAAAAATTGCCGCTACACTTCTTTTCCGAAACAAACCTCATCCATCCTACCCTCCAGACCTTTCTGCTACCGGCTACTATTTTTTAAGGCATCTGGGGTACTTTTTAAAGGAAAAAAAAATCTGATCAAAATTTGTTAATAATAACGGTACAACATTTTATTCAGAGAGAATGGAAAATTTATCAACTCGTTGGCAGAAATTCGAGAGTAACCGAGCGTATTTTGGTTAGTAAAAATAGTTTCGTTTAGTTTAGTTCTGTTATTTTAACTGTTTCATTTTAAACTCAACAGCACCATTGATTTATGAACAACCAAATACAGTGTAGTATTAGCAATCCGAACTTTGGTAGTCAGTACGCTGCAGTAATTAAATTAAGAAATAAAAAATAGAGAAAAAAGTGAAAAATTGGAAACTAGAGTCAAACTCTAACGAAAGACATCCAACGCCCGAATCTTCCTCGTTTTTTTCCACCCATACGCACGTTCGGCCCCAACGGTCTTCCCGTTCGCGCTCGTTTTTTTCCCCGAGAATCTCTCAACTGCCTTGATAAATAGAGAATAATAGCTAAAAACATAAGCATGCAGTGTCTCGTTTTAATAAGTGTATCCGTTGAAGAAAGAAAAGAGAACAAAATGCCATCAGCAGCAAATCCTTCTCCTGAAATAACCAAGAGATTTTTTCAAGTCAAAACAAATAGATATTGGATAGATGCACTAAAATAAATAATAAATAAATTAAACTTATACCGGCTAGGTTCACAATTATAATGCTCTCTACGGCGATTTTTTAAAACTTTAAATACAAAAACATAAAGTTAATTCATGAGATGCATTTTGAACTTCTTTCTGCCTCTCTATCCGTTTGCATGTATATATATATATATATATATATCATTAATTGAGGTGTCTGTAGCTAAGTACCCGAAAAGTATATGTTATTATATCTTTCTAATTTAACAGATTTACGAAATTCACTTATTGATATCGTGAATAACAAAAGTTTGCGCAATGTATTTAATCGAGGAAAAAGGTAAAAGATTCATTTCAGATGTCTACAACTAGTAATGTAGTTGAACTCAAAGATCTGCCTAACTATAGATACTTGACAGTTTTATTCGTAACATTTCTCTCTCTCTTTCTCTCTCTCTCTTTTCCTCGCTCTCTTTCTTTTGTAAAATGAGAACCGTGACGTAACTTAATATAAGGTTGAGAAGGGCATTCAGACTCTATTCTTACTTCTATCGTGCCGGATCCTTATTTCCAAGCCCCCAGCAGTGATGTCGATCCGGGGATAATTCCTATGGCCTTGATGTTCTCGGGATTTCCTGATGAGGTTGCGTGGATTCCAAAATTTTGGGCTTAAGTTTCAAGAGCCGCTTTCTAGTTATACCACATTACAAGAACGCATGTATCCAAGCCGATGATTATAATGCCATGAAGTTAGTAGTTTATCATTACAATTGTAGGAAATGTCCAATTTATGGTGGTTAAAGCTTTCATGATCATTATGAATCCGAAGATCACCTGAGTAAGAACTTTTTAGTATATCATTGTTCTGAAAAACTTATTTCGTTCAATTGTAAATTCTTTATTCACTCCTCAAACATTAAGTGTTCATTATCTGCCACATGAACCAACTATTACCTCTTTCTCATCAAATGCTGATGGACGCCCTATATAAGACTTGCCCCATCTAAATTTTCCTATCTACTATTTCTAGAAACCCCCTATATACAGTTTAATATTTGGCGTTTGTGGCAACATAATCTTTTCCATAATGATAGTGTGAAATTTTAAGAATTTAAAGATCCTTCTTTAATTTAAAAAATGTTTTATTCATATTAACCCTCTATATAACAAACTGTTTACGTTTTATGGATCATTCTTTTTTTAGAGATCAACATTTATTGATGCTAATCTAACATTTATTAATTAATATAACGGAGCCCTAACGGCTAGAAATATTAAGGAAGTATATTGCGAAGAAAGTATGCGTCAGTGTACCGTCCAACGATGTTAGTAATAATTTATAGAGGAAAGCTCCAGCTGTAAAGACAAAAATGGTCGTGTTTGGTCGAAGAAAAATCCAGAATAACTGTTTGAGAACTTGCAGAGAAACTCTCAGTTAGCAAATCGCTGACCACCTCAATGCAATTGGAAAGGTAAAAAAGTTTGAAACTTGGGTGCATGCATGAGGAGACCGCTAAATTATCTTTCGCTACACTTCTTAAAATGTTTCTTTTTACTAATAATATTTTATTAAGAAAAAAAAATACATTTTGTCTCAATTAAGGACATTGAGTATTTAGGATGAATGAAACACAAACGTACTATATATACAATAAAAGAAAAACAAGATTATAACATACGAAAAGAAAAGAAAACTAGGAATAACAGAATAAATCAAGCATGAGACAACATTAAATAAAAAAATAAAATAAATAAAAACACATTCATACTTATTTACAATATTTACAGTCAGCGGAGGGAGTTCCGAGTCGGGCCCTATCCCCCACGTGTGGAGGATAAGGCAAGACTCCAAGAGATCCCAGCGCTTCTCTCTCAGCCGCATCAATAGGATGGGAATCCAGTGGAGACTAAGAGAAGGCACTAAAGCCAAACTTCTTGAAATAAAGAAGAAATAGACCTTTTTCCGCACTGACCTTCAGGCCTCTGGCCTGGTAATAACTACCGATTCTCTTGACATTTGGGCAACTTTTTAGAGTTAAAAATATTATTGCTAAACGTTCCTTAGAATAAATGAAGTTAAAAATCACCGTTCAACATTTTATTCAGAGGGAATGGAAACATTAACAACTCCTTGGCGGAAATTAATGGATTAATAATGGAACTATTTTGATTAATAAAAATAGTTTCGCATCATTTAATTTATTTGTTTTGTATCAAAACCATAAACTTGCATTAAGTTCCGGACAATCCAATATTAAATTTTGCTGAAATTTAACATATTAAATGCCCTGTGAGAAGAAATTATGAGGGTTTTGTAAAAGTTGAATATTTAAATTTTGTACAATTTTTACTATTTCGTCCAAATAATTCTATTGACGACAGCCGCGAAGCATGATTTATCTGAGAATAAAATATGACGAGAGTAAATAAACCTGTTGATTTTCTTTGTCCAATTATAACGGCTATTTATATCGATTATCTTACATAATAGGGAAATCGATGTTGTCCTTCCCAGCCTTGACTTTGACCATTGCCCACGGAGTTGGTAATACGTAGCGCCAGCCGTTGTTGAGAAAGCAACCACTTGGGATATGACAAAAGAGATTTCAACGCCTATCAGCTCTTCAATGCACAAGCTACGAACAACGCTCTTTGCTGGACAGAAAAAAAAAAAAGAACTGACCCTTTGTTAATTGAAATCTTAAAAATACTCATCTTTTTTCATAAGTTGCATGAAAAGTATTTCACACCGCTAATATTTTATGAGATACGAAATACTCTTTTAATTAAAAAAAAAATACTCATTAATTCTTTAAATTAAAATAAAAGACAGTTTATATATATAAAACATAATTTTTTTCTTGTATACTTGTCATTCCTTTCTTCGTATTATTTATTTGAAGATGAATTAAATAGTTAAAAATAAAAAATAGTCTTAATTTCGTTTCCATACGCCTGCTGATTGGTTGTATTCAGGGGTGCCCAGAAGGGAGTTATACGGTGCAAGTTACACCATCAAAATTTTTGAGGGGGGCACATTTCGACGGAGTTATGAATTTTTGAAGTGACAAGTATCAAACCAAGAAATAAAGGGAAAACATGGATCAGATCACCGCAATTGATCTATGACTTTCCTAATTATATTTTTGCTCGCACTGCTTTTTAAAAGAGAAATTAATAAAATTCTTGGGAGGGAGGTGAGTTCCTGCGCCATCGACCTTCGGGGGGGGGGGGGGGAGCACCCCTGGTTATATTAAATGGATTCGGAAGAACTCTCTGATGCACTCACAGCTTCTGCAAATTGGGTACCTGATCCTTCGACGAATTCAAGTACGAATATTACCTCGTGGTGATCATATATTACATCCTTTCCTTGCCTTTCTACACCTTTCTTACAAGCATATTTCCCTATTCTTATTTTCCGCAATTTAAAGTAATCTGGGGAAGAATATAAACGAACTACTTCTGCAAGGGTCTATTTAGATCTCG